CGTGTCGTGCGGGGAGGGGTTGGGGGGGCTCTCCGGGGGGGGGGGGGACAGAAGGGAGCGTTCACAAGCTATTAGGCAGGATCTCTGCAGATGGCTTTCCAGGTGGGGTATCTGCCATGGAGGGACTCTGAGATGTGATGGGTATGCGTACAGGTGCCATCTTGGATCGCCATGGTGCAGGAAGCCTTGGGGCAGGGGGCAGATGGGTGGCAGCGTGGGCCAGTCCAGGGATCTGTCTGGTCTCTGCAATGGGAAGCAGTCTCTTCTGCCACCAGTATGGTCAGCTGCCCGCTGGGTAGTCTTAGGTCAACTGCGAATCCCTTCCTAGTCTCATTTTACCCATAAAACAAAGGGACGGGACCAGATGCCGCTATGGTTGCTTCCGGGTTTGACCTCCAAAGACCTTGTGGTGAGTGTAAGCAGACATGGGGAAGAAGTCTCAGCTCTGCTGTAGCCCCCTGGCAGGTCATGCAGCACCCTCTACTCTCAGAGGAGGTGGGTGGTCATCTCTGCCTGAGGCACCTGCACAACAGCACCCCCTCTTGGAGTGCTGTGTCTCAGCTGCTCGGGGAGGCAGGCCTGCCACGCTCTCCTGCATCTCCATGGCTTTGCCCCGGCTGTTGTCTCCATCTGTGATGCCCTTCTAGCCATCTCTGCCTGGGGAACACCTGCTTTCTCTTTAAAGCTCAAGCACAGCCTCCTCCTCTCATCTTCCCCTCACTGTCTGTGCAAGGACTGCCCACCCATGTGCCAGCCCTGGGCTCTCGAGGCCCTCTGTGCAGGCTGCACTGGCCAGACTGGGAGCCCCTGGAGCCTGGTCCTAGCTGTTCTCTTCTTGGCTCCCTGATGTCCAACCCAGTGCCTGGTACAGAGGACTGAAAAATATCAGGACGGAAGCGATGGAGGCCGTTTCAGACTTCCCCAGAGCATTCTCCACACTAGAACACTCTCACCCAAGAACTTAAGGCTCACACGAAGATGGCCAGAGGTGGAGAATCAGCATAGCTGGAATTCCGGTGCATATGTGCACCCCGTATGCACTGGGGATGCTGGCGGGCTGCAGTGTCTGATATCACACTCCTCACATGATGGCTGGCAAGGCTGGCATCTGCTCCAAGCAGCTGGCCTGGTCATGAGGAACTGGGGCTGCTCTGGAACGCAAGCCCACCTCTTCCCACAGTGGATTGCCTGTCCCAGCCACAGGATGGCTCAGCCCACCTTCCCGATTTTCAGCTTCTTCAAGGGAAGGCTGACCAGGTGAGACCACCCATCTGGACTTACGGGAGGTGACCTAATGGATCTATACAACCACGCAAAACCACACCCTCCACTCCAGCCCCTCGGGTACAGATCAGTCACCAACCTACACCTCCAAATGATTAGATCCCACAAGGTGGAGCAGAAAGACAACCCAGGGCCTCATGGCAGGGTGCTCCCGTCTGGGTTCTGGCACAGGTCACTGGGTGCAGGAGATCGGCGGGGGCACACCAAGACAAAGTGGGGGCTGAGACCACAGATGGGAACACTTGGGGAGTCACAAGTGACTTCACATCAAAATATCTTCACATTGGTGGTAGAGGCCTCCTTAGGGACCATCAAAGTCCAACTACTCCCTGGGCGTATGTGGACAGGGCCCTAGAGAGGAGAAGGAACTTGCCCATGGTCACACGTGAGCAGTGCAGGAGAGGACGCCCGTCCTGGATGGAAAATGGGCCCATTCTACGACTCTTAGAAATGGACTTCAATTGAGCCACAGGGCTGGCCCCAGGAAGCAGGGGCAGGGTGGGAACAGCACATGATCACATTCACATGGCACTGCTGGGTCAGTGGACATGCTTTCCGTCTGTGAGCAGCTCGTCATCCCCAGTGCACAGATGGATACCGAGGTGCAGGAAGGTGGCATGACTGGCCAAGGCCATAGGCCAGTGTGTGGGCAGCCAGGATGAGGCCTGTCCATGCAACTGGGTCCTCTGAATAGCACGCCTGCGCTTTGAGAACAGAACCAGATGTGTCCATCCCTCAAGAGGGGTGCTACTCTCTAGGGGCTGGTAACAACCAGGGATGAAAAAGAAACTGCTCCTGGCCCTCTGAGGCCTATTTCGAGGTGGCATCTGGGCCTGTCTTTGTAACTGAGGGTGTGTGACACAGCGGGCTGAGAGCCAGGTTCTGCAGGATGAAATTGGCGTTGCTGCTGCACCTGGTTCTAGCTTCCTTCCGTGCCCCCTCGTTAGAACCTCAGCCTCGGCACACCCTGGGTGCTGCTGTTCCCTTGCAGGCAAGGCTGGGTGGCATCATCATAGGGGCCCAGGGCCCAGCCAGCCCCTCCAAAGCCCACTCAAGAGCTCAGTACGTCCCAGGGAGTGAGCAGGAAGCTCGAGCAGCTACAGGCTCGGTCCTGGAGGAACACACAGGCTTGACAGAGGTACCATGAGTCCTCCTATACATGCTCCTCCTCCATACATTCAATTGGTCCTTCTGCAGGAGCCCTGCTGGGTGCCTGAAGTCCTCCTCTACACATTCCTCCTCCGTATATTTAATCAGACCTTGCAGAAGTCCTGCTGGGGCAGCCCCAGACAATCGGGATTCCAGGTGCTCTGAGCCTGAGGGAGACAGAACCACACACAGCCTGTGTCTGGAGGGTCTCTAGGACACTGAGGAAGCCCGGGGGCGAGCAGGCTGCCTGCATGTGTGGGGGAGGCTGATGACTTGTGAGTCCCATTACTGATGCCACCTGCTTCCTTTATTTCTCAAGACCCAATCCCCTTGATGTGGGAAGGCGGAAATCAGGATGCATCGTTCATGGACACCTGGACTGCAGGGCGATCTCCAAGCAGTGCGGGGAGCAGGGCTGCGTGGAGCAGTGGGCAGCCAAGGTCCCCTGGCCCGTCAGCACACCCAGCAGTGTGCACATTTCCCTGACAATACCCGAGTCCAATTCTGGCTCCTCTGGCTCCAGCCGCCCCTAGGCCAGCCTCCGGGCCCAGCTGTGGGTAGCATGTTGAAAATCCCTCAGCTGCCCTGACCCACGATTCTTTAAGCAGCCAGGTCTGAAATGCTGATGCCAACAGCTTGGAGAACAGACAAGCTCCTGCTTTTCCTGAGTGCCCTGCCAGCTGGCTAGACATTCTCCACCTCCTTCCTGGCCAGGGTGTTCTAGCCTCTGCTTGTATACCCCCAGTGCCAAGAGGCTCATTCATTGCCATGAAGCAGCTTTGGATAGCTCTAATTCTTTTTTTTTTTTTTTTGGAGAGGTTTTTGCTATAGGGCACGTGCACTCACCAGAAAGAGAGAGAGAGACGGGAGAGATAGAAAGCGAGAAATCACCCCCCAGGGGGGATGGCCACGCCACAATCCCTTCTCCTCCATTCTCCTCTTGGGATCTTGGGCACACATGCACACACACCCGGTATGAGTTTAAGCCACCAGGTCCGGGACATGAACCACAGTCGACTACGTGGGAGTCCAGTGACATAGCCACTACACTAACTGCTGGTCCCAGCTCTAATTCTTGATCACCTCTACTAGAGCTTTTCGTCTCACAGAGCTGAGAACTGTCTAACCGTAACTCTCCCTGACTGTATCTGTCCCCTTTGCCCTAATAGTCCTTGAGAAATGCATGGTCCTCTCCACATATCTGCACAGCCCACCTTCTCTGGGTGGACTCTCAGGGCCTCGGTGTCCTCCCCATGCTGTCGCTCTCAGGACACAGCCCAGCAGACCGTGTGGAGCCAGGCCTGAGCAGCATAGGCCATTCTCACCCTCCTTGCTGCAAGACTGGCATGCACGTGGGCTCTCCCCACAGCTGCACTCCAGCAGGCCTCCTTCCCAGGCCATGGCCTCTAATGATAGTGAGGGGGCAGAGAGGAAGGCAGGTGGGGGCTTTGCTGCTCCTGGGGGTCTGCGTTGGCTGAAGGGCTGGGGCTTATGCCCCAATTATGTCACTCATACTTTATGAGTCTGTGGCAAGCCCTCCTCTCTCTGGGCCTCTGTTCTTTTATCTGTAAAATGAGTTTTAGTCCATCTCTTGGGTCCCATCCAACAGTCACACTGAATGACAGAGGACCCAAACAAAAGCCCTTTTCTTACGTCGGCCTGCCCATCCTGGCAGCGATGCCTCGTTTATGACGGCTACAAAGCTGTCACAGGTGATATTCCCCATGGGATTCCTCCTGGCTCTTCCCAGCACTCCTCCCAATCTCTGTGAGACACGTAAAACTAGCCTGGCCCAAGCAGCCGCCTAGAACCTAGTCATTTTCACGGCAGCATCATGGAGGGTTGAAAATAGCTGGTCTTGAATCCTGGTCCTAAGAGGACCAGCCCCGCCCGTCGTGAGCCTCGGTTTCCTCATCTGTAAGTTGGGGACAATACATTCTTGCTCTGGGGATGGCTGTGAGGTTTGAGAGGAATGTGGCAAGAGCTCTGTATAGCCCCTGGCTCACAGCAGATGTGAAAGCTATTCTTGGTTAGTTAATATAAATCCTAGGAAGAGGCCCCTCCTTTTCTGGGAAGGCAGCAATGGCAAACATAAAACTCTTCCATATCCCAGAGGAATACGATCAAATTGAAAATCAGAGGCTTGAAATAACTTGCACTGGCAAGTTTCCCAGGGGGACACTGGCAGGCCTTTCCGCCGCAGACACAGTGGCCGGGCCACGCTCGGCTGAGGCTCCAGGGAAGGCTGGGGGGTGGGGGTTGGAGCGTGAGGCTGTACTCACTTCAGGGAGAGGGAGTAGTCGTGCTTGCTGGTCTGGCTGTTCCGGACAAGGTAGCTGCACTCCTTACAGAGTCGGAGCAGGTTCTCGGCATCTCCTCTGCTGATGGCTCCATGATACCATCTGGGGAGACGGAAGAGAGTGATGAGAGCCCCGGGGGGACAGAGATCCCACAGTGACTGCCCAAGGGGCTCTGCGACCTCGGAGGGCAGCCACCAGCATGTCGAGCCTCCCGGTTACAAGGCAGGCGTGTGTCTCTTGACCCATTCAGTAGACAAGTGCTGGGTGCCTGCTGCATGCTGGAGCCTGGGGAGGGAACAGTGTACAAAACCCAGTCTCCGTCCTCGGGGAGCTTACGCTGTCCTGCAGGGAGTCAGATAATCTCCGGGTGTGTGTGTGGTGACGGGTGCTGTGGAGATGAAGTGACACGGGGCCAGGGGCTAGGAGCTGGCAGGGGGGCTATTTTAGGCAGGTAGGCCAGGGAAGCCTCCGGAAAGTGGCATTTCAGCACAGACCCGCAGGGGACAAGGGAGGAAGCCATGAAGGACAGTAGCTGGAAAGGAGCTTTCTGCAGAGGGGAGGGCAGAAAACAAAAAGGCCTGAGGCAGGGTGTTCTGCAAACAGTCAGCAGCCTGCGTGGCTGGGGTAAGGCAGCCACGGAGAGGGTGGGCAGTGAGGCCCAAGAGGTCTTGAGGCAGGACAGGTTTGGCCTTCCTGTTTGAGTGACACAGGAGCCACTGGAGGGTGCTGACGAGGCGTGTTCCTCAGGACAACAGTATTTGGGGTGGGTGGCCGACCATAATCCTGCTAGGTAGCCCTGCCATAGGCTGGGTACGTGGGGATCCCAGCATCGCTGTTTCTGGGTACCACACATGCCAGAGATGAGCAGAACGTGAAGGGAAGAGACGCGGTGCAGAGGGCCGAGGCCCCAGCCCCAGACCAAAGGAACATCAGTTTTTATTCCTGGAAGAGCAGAAGTAAAACTTCAGTAAAGAAAAAATGGTACCTACCAGCGAGTGCATCTACTCAAAACACCCAAAACAGACCCCTGTTCCCATTAGGGTCCCCAAGGGCAGGGGTCGTGGAAGGCAGGCAGATGCAGAGCCAGGAAGGGAAGCAGAGATGCCAGCAGTGGAGGGGCCGAGCACGCTTCATCCAGAGGCACGGACGAGGCCTGGAATTGTGGCTCTGCCATGTGCCACCATGGTGACCCTAGTCTAGCCTTGGTTCTCTATCAGGTTAGGATCGCACCAGCCCCTCTTGGAGAAAGCCTCATGCAGAACCTGGCGTGGGGTGAGTTCAGCAAACGGCAGCCATGAGCATCAGCTGAGAGAGACCGGCCTTGCAGATGGCCACAGTAACACCCCTCCACAACGATTTCAGGCTCTTGTCCGTCCACAGGCTGTATTTTAAACCTTCAGGCGCAGGCGCGGAAGCTGCCTCCTGGAGCTGGCCTCGCAGTGCCCTGCGGGCAGCTGTGCTGAGAGTTCTGTCACTGACATGTTGCTCAGAGAAAAATCTGCACCGCCCACCACTGTGCACTTCCTGCCGTTCACAAGGCAGCGCTCAACAGTAAGCAGCACAGCCAGGACAATTACAACCTAAGAAAGCACTAGTGCTAGGAAGTAGGGACTGGACAGTAGATGTGAGATGTCCCTGGCAAGTGGAGAGTGACCGAGCCACTGGCTGTCCAGGAGGTAGCCACGGAGCTGGATATCTGGAAGGGAGACCCGCCAAGGCAAGAGGCATGGGGTGCGTGCAGACGGTAGGCCTGCCTTCTCTTTTTTTGTTGTTAAAGAATTATTTTATTTAACTTTATTTATTTTTTTATTTTGACCAGAGAGGGACAGAGAGAGAGCAAGAAAAAGGGAATGTGAGAAAGCAAGCCACCAGGTCTGGGAATCAAACCATGGTTGACTATGTAGGACTTCAGTCCCTTGCCTTCACTTCTAAAGTGACAAATAAAGAGGAACGCGACATGAGGGGAGGCCTGGGTTGGCATGATTAAAGCATTTCCAGAGACAGGAAGGCCCGCATTATGCTTCAGAAAGGATGCATGGCTGTCAGGGAGAGAAGCTGTTAGACAAAGACAGAGCTGGGCTTCGAAAGGAGAGTGAACAGACCTGGTAAGATTCTCCTCGGGGAGTCTGCCTGTGTAACCACCCCCAATGAGCTGATGAAAATGTTGTTTCATTAAGGAAAACAAGTTCCAGCCATCGAAGCTGAGCTGTCCTCACAGGAGAGCCTGGAAGTGGTCCCCGGGGAAGTGCTGCCCGGCACCTGCCACTCCCCGGCAGAGAAGCCAAGCCTGGCTCTAAGAGGCGGTGGCAGACGAGCCTCTGGGGCCTCTGGGTCCTTGTGCAGGGTAATCCCGGGCAGTAAACAGGATGAGCGCTGGTTCCTTCCCCAGCTGTCCACTCAAGTGAAAGGCAGGGGGCTCGGGTCGAGGATCAAAGGAGAAAAGGGCAAAGGGCACTGGGTCAGAGGAGCTGGAGTTAGCCACTGGCCAGTCTGTTGGCAAAAGGCTACGGACCAGACCGCAGACTGGGCTTGGGTGGTCCTGTGGGGCCTGGGAGCCAACTGTTGGGCTTGATTAGGCCCTGTCTGGACTGAAAGGAGAATCGAGGCAGAAGGCCAGCGTGGGGACACACTGAGCCCGGTGGAGCTGGCCAGTCAGGTCAGAACCAGGGGGGAAGGGGGGGACTCAGCCGGCCCCATTCATCCCAGCCAATGCATCAGCTCCTCCAATATTTACTCACTACTCCCCACATCCTTGATCTCACGGGGCTGGTGCACAGAGAAGGAAAGTCAACAAACAGATCCAGGAAATAACTTCAGATAGCAACAAGTGTTAGGCAGGGATACTGGGTGTGATTAGGCAGTGAGGAGGCAGGAGGAATGCATGTAGGGGAGGCCCCTGAGGAGATGACAGTTGACCTGAGAAGAGCCAGTCACGTGAAGAGTCAAAGGAAACCTCTTTGCTGCAGAGAAAGCAGCAAGCGCAAAGGGCCCGAGGTAGGAATAAGCTTGGGGAGTCCGCAGAGCAGGAAGGCAGCACGAACGGCCCGAGCCCTGTGAGCAGGGACAGCGGTGCAGGATGGGGATGGAGCAGGAGGCAGGGGTCCCTGAAGCCTCGTGGGCCAAGGGAAGAAGTCTGATTTCATGCTAAGCAGACGAAGGGGAATGCGAGTTATAGAAATGTTACCTGCTCCAGATCTACCTTGTAGAAGATCTACCAGGTTGCCCTGAGGAGGAGCCAGAGTTCTCGGGAAACAGTGGGGAGGTTAGGGGGGGGCTACAGCTGGGGTTCGGAGTGGACAGCTGGGAGGAGTGGGTGGATTTGGAGGGAGAATTGGCAGAACTCAGTAATCAGCAGATGCTGATGAAAGGCAAAAAGGAACCAAGATGACTCCAGGTTTGCGGCTAGAGTCATACTTATAGGGGCAATGCTGTTTATGAAGATATTGAAGCTGGAGGGGGAGTGAGTTTCCAGGAGGAGTCCAAGAACCCAGTTTTGAACATGCCAAGTAGAGACACTGAGAGGGCTGCTGGATGTAGGAGTCGTGAGTTCTGGAAGGGGAGAGGTGTGGGTTGGTTTTGCCACTGTGAATTGTTACTGGGATCCTGGAAGTCTAACCTTAAGATCAAGCACAGGTCAGGGCCCAGTGGAGGAGACAGGAGTGCCAGGGAGGCCGGAGAAAAGCCAGGAGCAGGGAGTGGTGAGCTGTGCTGACTGCCATGGAGGTCAGAGGTCATCTGGGGAGCTAGGCAGAAAGAGGGAAGGGGGGTGGCAGCTGAGGGAGAACGGGGCTATGGAAAGGACAGGTGCTGGCACATCTGAGGCTTAGTTCGTTCATCGGTAGCTCTACAGTGAGCACCTACTACGTGCCAGGTACTGTCATGCACAGTAGGGATACGGTGGCCACCCTGGCAAGTTCCTGCCCTCACAGGGCTTCTTTTTTCAACAGGGGCAGTAGCTGGAGGGGGCTGCTGGGCAAGTTTATTTACTTACTCTGACAGTGTTTGTGGCCTGGACAAGTTTATATGCTGAGGGTAATGAGAAAGATGAGGTGGTGACCTGCTTCCAGGGGGCAAGTAGGATGGGCATCCAGGCAGGTGTGTCCTACTGATCCTGTGACCCATACAACCTGTGCCTCAGTCCCCACCTCCCACCGCCCTTGGAGGAGCGGCTCAATT